TTTATATATTAATTAATAATAGATCCTCATCGTAGAAGATATTCAAATCGATCGTTTTATATTTACGAAATGAATATCGAACAACGACCACCATTAATTTATTTATAAACAAGAGAAAATCATAGACGTTAGATTTAATCGAAATGTTATTTTATTATGGAGAAACGTTTGTTTAACTATATTGAATAGATCTCGTATCGTAGATGAGAAGAGAAATCGAATATGCAACATTAACATTTTTACAACGTTATTTTAAATAATATTTTGTTTTTTTGTTTCATTATTAAATAAATAGTAAGAAATTATTTGTGACGATAATATTTTTATTTAAAAAGAAGATTTTTCAATAACGCTCATTTCAAGTTGAAATCAGATATGATCATACCGGTACCGATCTAACCTCTTCTTTTTTTATCGACATTTTAAACACTCGATGACATTTCAATGTCTACAACGTTCAACAATTAGAATCATTATCAATCTAATCGATTTTATCTAACTCTATTGATTTAGTAGAGTAACCGAACGAGATTTTCGAACGAATCATTAACGAAAGTGGTGGATTTTAAACAACGATCGAGATCTATTCTTAACAATTCTCCTCAATCTTACTAGTTGATTCATTGTGAATATATAGGATTGTTCTAGTGTCATTCTATCGTTTATATATAAATCTAAGAAGAATATCTTCAATACTAGTCTATTTTAACAATGGAACATACTGGAAAAATTTATATTTCCATCATTTATTTATCGAATAGAGAGAGAATATCGTTATTATAAAACTTTTCATTTTCACATAAATAGATTAGCTTATATATACTCATTTTGAAGAGTATGTTCAATGATAGAAATCGAGATAGGCTTGTTATAGGTTTTACTCTATAGATATAAACATATGTTATCATATGGAAACTTGTTCTGAAAGATATTGACTAAATAAATTGAAATTCATCTCTCAGACATAGATAACGTTATGTAACGATTCGATAGAACCTTTATATTACTAAAGTAACTATGGCGAGACCATCTATTTGAACAGTTTAAATCATCTTATCAGAAAAGTCAACGTTTTGTTTTTTTTGAAAATTATAATAGGATATGTCCAGATAAAAACTTATTGGTAAATTATTCAATGTCTACTATTCAATTGAATTTATCGTTATAGTAAAAAGAATTGTTAATAGGATTGTTTTTTGTTATTGTCTATATTTATTTCTCTATGACTTATTTAACTAATCGTCTAACCTTACACCAAATATTTGACTATATTCTATACTATGAGCATGTTTCTTCTTTGAGATAATTTCAGAGAAACGAATATGAATTTGTGTTGAAATCTCGAAGATGAATTGTTGTAATAGAACGAGATTTATCTATCGTCTATAGAAAATAATCTACTAATCAGGACGGACATTATCTAGAATAATACTTATCTTATTATCCTTCAATAGAAGATAAAATTGAAATAAATTTAAACGATAGAATTATCTCACAACAGTTATAGAACGTTTTTTTATTATATATAATCATCATTAGTTATTCAATATCAATGAAAAAAATCATCTTATCGTTTGGTTTTTTTTTTCTTTAGCTTCTTCTCTCTATTCAATTTCTCTTATATTTCTAGCTGAACCTTATTTTAATCAACCTGCTTATGAACGTACACGTGGTAGAACAACTGGTACTGGTCAATCAGTTGAATATGATGATTAATATTCGAGAAACAACAGTTCGAGAGTCAATCGTTGAACAATTACCAAATCCTTCGTCTATGTTTTGCTTCTAACATATGGCGACATTTCTTTTTAAAACAAAGTTAAATTAAAATTAGAATCTTATTTTTTTTTGATTATTTATTTCGATGAAATAATTGATCAATGTCAATAATGGATAGGTCAATTACAAGGATAGATCATCAACAGAAAACAGCTCTATTAGTTAATCAATAAGTAAACATCTTCCATCAGTTATACATCATACAAATTATCTTAACTAAATAATTTTATTTTTTTTCACCCTACCTTATCATCTTATTATTCGATCTTAATTAACAAAATTGTTTAGTTAAGAAGATGATCAAATAAATAATTCAAGAACAATAGATGAAGTAAGACCTTGTTGTTCTTCTCGAATAATAAGAGTAAATATTCGACGATCAATATAGGATAGAAATAACAAAATCTTAAGAAAATATAAATTCCAGATAAACTGATGTAGATTGAATAGAAATTAATAATAGTAGATTATCTAGAATAAAATTGCTAAAATGATAATTATTATCAATAATAAAATCAATCACCATCAACAAATCGAAATAGATTTTATTGAATAATAACACATTCAAATTGTTTTTTATTATATTGGACATAAAATAATAAACCAAATCTATGATTACCTTATGTTTAGACTTATTTATGATGATTTACTTTATGATAAAGATTATAGACGATATTGAATATATTATTGAATATCAACGGTGAAATACCTAAAGGTTATCCTCAACGATTATTATTCACTTTTTTTTTCTTCCGTTTTTGTGAAAAAAAACCGAGTGATTGATTCATTGATATTTGTGTTCTTTTCTTCTTCTTTTCTAGATATTCTTTATTCTTAATAAAAATAAAAAAAAAACTAAGAATTACTTTTTTTCGTTTCGTTATTTCATTGTCGTTATATAGATAATGGTTAACGTTTTATAATATTATTAAAGTAAACAAATTCTAACGGTAGATAATAATATAGGAATGAATATAATACTTTAACATTCGACAATTTTTTTATTAAATAAATAGGAAACAATCGAATGTTATTTATTTTGTCAATTTTATTGAATAAAAACATGAAAGTATTTCGATATTTTAGATATTTATTTCGAGAATAATTCAATTATACGATTGATAAACGGTAACCATATCTACTATTTAACGATAGAACCTTTCGAGAGTGAACTGATCATATACTCATAGAAAAATATATTTACAATATTTAATGGCAAGAATTCCAATAGATAACTAATGGTAGACGATAAGACACATCATCTTCAACAGATTTTTCAAATATATTAATCATTTTCTTTTTTTGATCTATTTGAAAACGATTTCTCTTTTAACAATCTTAAAAAAAGTTGATCCCATCAAACAACTTGATTCATTTCATAACACTGAACGGAAAGTCAATGCAGGAAATAAATATTTATAGAAAAAAAGAGTTGACCATTCAAATCTTATTATCAAGAATTGAACAAAATAAAGGAAAGATTTTATTTTTTAAACTTCTTATAATTAACTCAATTGTATTTTGTTTCCTTCTGACAAAAAATTCTTAATAATCCATAATTACTAAGAAAGTTATTCTTTATGGTTGATCAATTCGATATTTGAAGTTGAAACGTTTTTATTCGATTTTGATCAGTCTGATCACTTGTCAGTATAGAATCTACTTACAAGGATATATTCTAAACGTGTCGCCGTCTTACTTTTTAAATGAGATTATGTCACTTTTTAAAGTACATAAAGATGATCAAGATCGGATTACAACATTCTCCTCGATATATTGATTATGAAGAACTAGACCGATTTCAACAATAGAATAAGTTATTCAAAGCTATTATTTCATAGATTTTAATTATCGTGTTAGATAAGATCTGACCATTGAAAAGTAAAACTCTCTATTCGCGCGTTAATTAACTATAGACATTGAAGATAAATAGAAATTCTAACAACGGTCTTTACTATGAGTATTATCAATATAGGTGATTAAACTATTTTATTTTAAAAATCCATCTTATTTCAATTCAATGTTCATCTATTAGTCGGATATCTATTTAAAATCTATGTTGATTATCTTCCAAATAATCTACTCTTATCTATTGAACTTTTCCATATAAACATATATAAGAAAAAAAGAAAATTGAATGTTTCGACTATTGAAAAGGAGACATATACAAGAAAAGTTAAATTCCTATATATTTAGAATAGTCTTCTCAATCAATGATAATCAGTTTTAAAAAAAACATAGTTTAATATTCATAGATCTAGAATTTAAATATATGAAAGAGTCACGTGTTAAACGTTTCAATGGTAAAAACAAA